GAGACCCCCCCCCACCCCCGGCCCGGACGGCACAGCACAGCGCGGCGCGGCATGGCACGGCACAGCAGGATCCCACCCCAGTGTAGGATCCTCGGTAACAGACCCTTCAAACAGGCATGACCATTTAATTTGGGGTTTGTTGGTGCTGCGGGCAGGAGCCGTGCCCAAGGAGCACATCTCGACCTGCCTCGGGACATCTCTACGTGCAGCTGAGAGGTTCACAGCTGTGCCGGATGATGGAAAATAACACTGGAAAAAAGGGAAAAAAAGCTGCGAGCAGCCACCTGTGTCTTGCCAAGGACAAAGAAAGGCTGAACATGGAGGAGACCCATTGGCACCCCAAAAGCAAAGCCAGGCTTTGAAATAGCTGCTGCCACTCGGGCAAAGCCGGGGCACCAGGAAGCCCTGAACCATCAGGGATGCACCAGCCCCGGGGCAGCACCATGACTGCACCCGCCGGAGCACCAGCCTGAGTGCCCTGCTCAGCCACGAGAGCTGAGGTTACGGCGTAAGGCTCAGCAGCATCCTTTTCCCTCTTTAATCCCCCAACACAGCTTTTCTTTTTTTCCCGAGCTGTAACCAAGCTCTACAAACCCTCAAAGACACTCAGAGCCCGATTCTCTCGTACAAATATTGACACTAGCAATTCCCAGGAGCCAGGGAAGCAGCTTTCGGCTCCGTTTCCAGGAGCTGGTGGCATCTGTCCTGGCGCCAGCTGGACCCAGGTGCTCGCTGCGGCCCTGGCCGGAGCTGGGTACGTGGCAGAGCTGTGCCAGCGGCTGGTCCTCAGCCCTTCCCGACGGCATGGAGAAAGATAAAACCATATTCCATTATAATCAAGGGGTTGTAAATGGTTAAAACAGGTCAATGCTGAGCTGGTGTGCTCGCTGCCTGGCTCCCTCTCTTTTATTATCTTTAAATAATGTCCTTCGCTTCGTTTCTGACTCTTCTTTCCCAGCCTTGAAATAGAAACGGGATCGATCAGTCAGGCTGAGCATTTCCAGACCTTTATTAACGGGCTGGAAAACCCATCTGCGCTTGTCGTTGGGGTTCTCTGCCTACCCCAGATCTCTGCACCAGACTTTTTGCAGGATGAGCCAGCAAGGTCAGAGGGGTTCCCCCGCAAAGCCCATCCAGGGGGTTGGTGTCCCCCCTCTGACTGGCTGCACGGGCACCACTGATTCACCCATATTCACTCCAATTTTGGCCATGGAGAAGTGACCTTTCGCTTTTGCCCTCAACAACATCGCCGTCACTGTGAGAGCAGCTGGGCCACCAGCATCTGGGACTTGGTTGCGCACCAAAATCTTTGATCGCTCGGAAAAAAAAAAATGTCCCCGATGTTGATGTGACAAAAAAACCTGGCATCACTGGCTGGATGCTGACAGTCGGTCCAGCCCTGCTCCCTGTCCAGCCCACAGTTGCAAGGCAAAAAAGAGGGCTCTTCCTCCCTCTTTCCCCAAACCCAGGTCTTCCTCGCCTGGCTCCGAGGGTTGCGGTGCAGGGAAGTCTTTGAGGACGGCAGCGCTCAGCTGCTTTCCAGAAAAAAAAAAGCAGCACCTGCACCAAAGGGCAAAGGCTTTCCCACGAGAAGGACTGGCTCAAGGGCAGCAGAAGCTCCTTGTATCGCTGTGAAACAGCCTCAGCGCCCCGATGCTGCAGGCCCGTGTCCAAGCACGCCAATCTACGCTATAGGGGAAAAAAAAAAAGTATTTAAACTGAAGGGCGCTGGGTTTGCTGTTTCCCAGTCTGCAGTGGTTTGTGCTGCTTGAGCAAAGGGGAGGAGATGCACTGGAGGGGCTCAGCTCCGCGTTTCACCTTTCCCGGGTGCAGGAAAAGATCACATCGTCCCGGCATGAGCCGCTTTGGCACCCGGCGCTGCTGCAGCTTTGTGATCACACATAGCAGCAGCAACGGGAACCAGCCCCCAGCAGACAGCTATAGGTGCCCCTGCGGCTTTCGGGGTTTAAAGCACTGGGGCAGAAGGCAAAGGACTGTGCCCCAGGCTCGTCCTGGGGACCCACAGGGAGCCCTGCCCTGTTCCTGCTCCTCCCAAGAGACCAAAGGTGATGGCAATGCCCTGCACGAGGTTGCATCGCAGCAGTAAAACTGTAAAAAAACTTGCATTCCCCAGGTTTTTCCACCAGCAGCTGCAGCGCAGCAGAGCCCAGTGAATCCCACCGGCAGCACACTATGGGCACCCTGCTACACGCACCTGGCTCATGGGAGGGGGGGGGGTGGGCCCCCCCCCCCC